ATTGGTTGAAATTCACAGCATTTATTTTTTTGGAAGTAATGGAAACAATGAGGCTCTTCCAGTATACCCCTACATTTTAAATTGTAGGTTCTTACAAAGTTGCTGTACTAGATTTATTGTAACATACGTTGTTTTGATTGTACCAGATCAGGAAAATCCTGATTGAACATAGGCAGTTACAGATGTGTTTTTTTAAACATCTCACTTTGCTGTATCCAGATATTCTTTATATCACCCCAAACCAGAAAGAGGACTAACATGGCGTTTGTTTCAGAGTGAATCACTAACAAAGCAAACAGCTGCTTGGGTTCCTTGTCACAGACAAGACATGTAAGCAGCACTCCGATCTTTAACAAAACTAGGACATTTACGACACAGTGAGTGTCTATTCTAGTCAGGCTGAGGAAGGTGTGGCCCCTCACACCACCACACGATGACCGCAGTCGGGGTTGAGGGCAGGTGTCCTGCCTGCAGCGGCTGGGGGCATGCCCCCGCCAGGCGGGCATCAGCCAGGCCAGCCAGCAGCTCCAGTGCAGCCACATCTGATGACACACTCCAGTTTGCATGTGGCTTTTTTACTATCTTTGTTTGTTTAAGGAAAATGTTACAAAATAAAAAATTCACATGAAAGGCCTGCAGCACTAGAACACAGATTGAAAGGCTCCGACTTACAAGGTTGCCCGTGTTATAAAACAGATCTCAAACTGTTAAACGAACTGGTATGCTAAGATGAAGCTTGAATGGAGAGAGTAAAATAACAGTTTAAAATTCAGAGCATGTCTCAAGTTAGATCATAAATTAACAAACATAGCTATAATAGTTTTTTGGTGTTTAAAAAATGATTCATCGTCTTTTCAGGTTCGATTTGCTGCTCTGATAACTGTGTTAGCACTGGCTGAAAAACTAAGAGAGAATTATATCGTCTTGTTACCAGAATCCATTCCGTTCTTAGCTGAATTGATGGAAGGTAATTCCCAAACTTTTAAGAAGTAATTAAACCTCTGTGGGAATGTGCCCGGTGGGAATACCCATTTGGAGAGACTGTGATGAGCTCTTGGCTCCAGCCCTCTGCCTGGAGGCTGAGCTCCTGTTTTGAGTGGGGTGGAGGGAACAGTTAGAAAGCAAACGCCTCCTCATCATTTGAGATTTGTTTACAGCATAATCCTTACCATCTTTAGCTTTGTTTTTTTGCTGACAGTACAGACTCTAATAATGTTTTGCTTTAACCTCATACATGACTGTGACTGAATACTTTGGTCCACAGATGCAGGGTTGTTATATCAAAACATGCAGTGCCACTGAGGATGCAGTGGAGCAGCACTGTTAGATGCCCAGCGCTTATCTGTGCTCTGTGTGGGTGAGCTCGTTAATCCTCACCAGGCACATGCCCGTATCCCCCATTTTTTTCAATAAAGGAAAAAACTCAGGGCTTTAACAGGATTGAGTAATCTATCTGATAACGAGTGTGACAGGTGGGACTGGGGTTGACGTCCAGGTTTGTGCAGCTCTGGACACACAGCAGTGAGCACGGTGCTACCTGCAGCCCAGGAAATGGTGCAGACGAGCGGGGTGGCGGAGGCGAGGCTGGAGCTCTCACATTGGCCTTCACTGCGCATCCCAAGGCAGGTGCCTGCACCTTTGTTCCCCCCGCCCCGCGAGGGGCTGTGCGAGTGACTATACCGAGCGGCATTGCTAGGCGTCTGCAGTGTTCATTTGTGCACCACTGTCTGGGGTCTCTCTCCACTTCCCAAGTCTAAGACTGTAAGAAGGGGAGGCAGGCAGGAAGGAGAAAGGCAGGAGGGGCTTCCAGGATGGCTTCCGCCTCAGCACTGTGCTCCACTTCTCTCCTGACTCGGACTCGCAGCGACAGCAGGATGTGCAGACCCAGGCTGATGAGAACCGAGGCAGGAAGACTGACTTTTCATTTTTTTTTCAGATGAGTGTGAAGAGGTGGAGCACCAGTGCCAGAAGACCATCCAGCAGCTGGAAACCATCCTGGGAGAGCCTCTCCAGAGCTACTTCTGAAACTCTGGGTTTTGGCATTTCATACTCTGTTCAGAGGTCAGACTGCTTTTTGCATCTTCATTCTGGGTGTTCGGGACCATACTACTTTTGGTGCCTTAACCCTACTTGGACTTCCTTACAAAATTCCCACTGATTCGTGCGGCCACAGAAGCCTTTCCTGCCAGTTGTACAGAACCTACAAAGAGTAAATGATACGTGGTGTTTTTATACAGACTGCTGTGTTTGTTTCAGCGTTGATTATGTGTGTAGTGTGTGCTCAGTCGCTCAGTCTTTGGGACCCTTTGGATTGTAGCTTGTCGGGCTTCTTTTTCCATGGGATTCTTCAGGCAAGAATACTGGAGTGTGTTGCCATTTTCTCCTGCAAGGGATCTCCCCGACCCTGGGGATCAAACCCAGGTCTCCTGCATCGCAGGTGGATTCTTTTACTGATAAACCATTGGGGAAGCCCCAGCACTGATTACAGTCTTCTGATTGATGTTACTGTCACTACATACGTGTTTCATGTTAGCATTCAAAGCTAACCTGCATTTGGACTGTAAAGCCTGAATGTTAGTGGTAAAGGAAAGCTTTTGTACATGGTGTCCATGTCAGGCATTTCACTCAAAGTAGCTCTTTACTTCAAGAAAATGAGTTACTCAGGACCCAACAAGAATGCTTTCAGCCCTGAAGCCATTGGATTTTTACTTTTCGTTCTGGGTGGATAACACTTCAGTCTTGTGTGTGCCCCATAGAGCAGGTCGTTCTGGAATGCATCTTCTATTCTGGACTATCTCTCCTTTATCCTTCAGTCTCTTGGGGGCAGGGTGGGGTGGTGGAGGCAATAGACTGTTTATAGAACCACCACACCCAATGATCCTACAAATAGCCAGGGCCTTGAAACAAAAGGAGCCCCTGCAGAGTTAGACGTGCTCACATTGCCATTAGCAGTTAACCAAGAATTGAGGAAAAAAGTGAATAAAAGAATTTTTTCAAAGCTTTAAAGTTCTCTTATCTCTATACCATGTCATGGTGAAGCTAGAAAGTGAACGCTCAAGCAGAATTAAACAAATCTGCCTTTATTTTGTTTAAGACATTAATTGATGCCTTTTAAAAATTTAAGGCATCTAAGAACTGTTCCATAGCTGTTAAAGTCTGAAAGCCCTTGATCTAATTTAATATAGAAATTTAGTGTGGAATTGTGACCAGCAGAAGGCTGGTTTGCGTCTGGAGACAGAGCTTGCTAGGAGTGCATATTTCTCTTTAAGAAATGTCACAACAGGGTTTATTAATAAATGCTAACAGCTTATTTTCTAAAAACAATCTCAAGATTTTATATTTACTCTATCAAAGAACTGACATACTATTGTCCACATAAAAGGAAAATGTACTATGGTTTAAGACTTAAAACAAGGTGAGTGGGCTTTTCTTTTTTCCTCAGTGGGCCACAGTTTCTGCCAGGCTCCCTGATGTTCTTTTCTGAAGGAAAAAACTACCCTGGGGATTCTAGACCTTTCTTGCCTTGTACAGCTTTCCCAGTATCCCCACCTCCACCATTTTTTTTTTTTTTTTTTTTTAGTTTGGTGAGACTCAGCATAATAAAGTAACATGAAAAGATGGAAAAGAATAAGTGCTAGAAGTTTCCACACTGAGCACCTTTAGGAGTAAGATTGGTAACAGTATTTTCTGCAATATAGGGATACAAATAACACCTAACCACAAACTGTTATGAAAATAGCCCCAAATCCTGGCAGAATTCATCCCAGCAATTTAACATGATAAAATGAGGCGACTGATCTAGCTTTTTAAACTCTCCCCTCTCACAAACCTCTGAAATTCCCTGTAACAAGATCTGACCTGTAAGAATTCTACAAAGAACTTCTGCCAATGTGCTTCAAAGAATAATAGACAAAAATTACAGAAATGCAACAGTTTAGCTTGCTGATACAGGCTTAGATTTTAATCACTAGAAGCAGAACAATGTTTTGATCTCTGTCACTAATGACGATGGACCCGTCTGAAGACGGGCAGAGGCAGTGCTGGTCTGGCACTGACCAGGGACCGAATAAGCGCCCCTCTCCTCCTCACGGGTCTCGGCTGCTGTGTCTTACTTCTCTGAGAGGGCCTGCTTTATAAACAGTCATCAGATCTGATCTTGACACTGCTTTGTTACCCACAGACATTTTACAAATTGAGACCGTCTCTTGTCTACCTTACACTAGAGTGTGCATAGGAGACCTCTGGCTCACCAGAAACTCTAATATTCTAAAATATGCATTTACTGGTACAGACATCAGTGGCCTTGAGACTGACGTCAAGTTAATTTCAACATCATTTGGTTCAGTTTTGCTTTGCTTTTTGCCTTTATCTTTGTGCTGTGTTTAGATTTCATAGTGTTAATCATTTGGTAATGCTTACAACTAGCAGAGCTAGATATTTATCATGCTAAAGAAAATCTCCAGACATAAATCAACATCAATCCTCCCAATTATGGGATACAATCAAACCCTGAGCCAGCACTGGAGGAAGTGTCACCTATAAATTTGTGTCCTTAGGTGATTTAATAGAGTAATTCTTCTAAGTCCCTGGTGTGTGAGGGAGCAACAGTGGCCCAGAGCTTGGTAGAACAGGGAATGTATGCGCCCCACTGTGTGTCCCTGGCTCCCACCACACATGACAAGATAAGTGCTCAGTGCAGGCTGGCTTTCTCTGTTACTGTGGGCACTTCCTAAACACTTGCTGAGCGCAAAGTAGGTTTAAAAGAGGCAGTCCAGGTGCAGAGGAGAGAGCAGGAAAGCCTGTTACAGCAATGGCTGTGACCACTGTCGCATCAGTCTTCTCACTCTGGGCTTGGCAAGGCGCGCAGCACGGACTGAGGATACCGAGCGGGACGTAAGGACTTAACAGTGTATATAAAGCATGTCGTGATAGATGTGTTTTACCAAGGCCAGTGTTACAGAGGTCATGCTGTAGTTCAGCGTCGGCAGCCCTTGTGTCAGCTACCAGCTCCGCACTTCCAGCAAGTGGATGTCACCGTCGATCTCCAGCGTGTCGATTTTACTCAGGTCCTTAAACCTGTGCTTGTACTCCAGGCTGTGGACACCGTTTACCGCGACTTTGAATTCTCTCACGTCACAGTAAATTATCATCTGGAAGGAAAGCACACATAAGTGGTTCCCCAGGCTTTAGAAGTTTTCGTGTCTTGCACACAATGTTAAAAAATACACCATTTAGTTCTTCTCCCAGCCTGCCAGCGCTGACACCCTGCCATGGTTTCTAAGCTCTGATGAAAGTGTATCTGGTGGTGGCACTTTCTGTCTTGTCCCACTCAGGGAAGTGACTCTCACGTACCTGGAACCTTATTGTGGCCTGAGGCCCACTGGCCGCTCTGTCCCCTGCTCCTGCCCCAGCTCTCAGGGAAGTGGGAAGTCGCCCTCCTCGAGACACGTGGGAACTCAATCGAAGGAGAAGAGGGAGCTGCTTCGTGCCCACAGGCCAGGAACCCAGGGGCTTGGGTCCTCACCTCTCTGCCTCAAACTTGGGTTTGGGGCAGCTCAAAAAATATGGACCCCAGGTCAGGGCACCTGGCAGGGACTGCACCGCTGCCTGGTGACTCGGGACCCCCACCCCACTCAGCACACTGTTTCTCTAACGCTGGTCAAAGCTCCTTGTTCTGTGAACCTCTGCATTCTGGCAGAGAGGCAGTTCAGAGTCATCACTGGCGTCAGCCCGTCAGTGCTAACAGAAGAGCCTGCTGTCCTTTAAATCTCCCGTACACCTCAACCTTTTCCCCTGCTACCATGTTCCTTGTGCCGGTCCGGCCACCCCCGCTCTGCCCCGTCTCCACCCTCACTGCAGAGCCCCGTGGGGCGAGTCCATGGTTCTCCCCTTGCTCTCTGCCCCCACCCCAGAGGCAGACGGAGGCGCAAAGTCTGGATCCTCAAAGCAGCAAACTGAGTGTCTTTTCTTTTGGTAGGACTAGTAGAAATGACTGCTAGGGGAGATTAGGAAGGGGGAAATTCCATGGATGATAGCAATAACTGACACAGATGAAGGCAGAAGGCTGATGCAGAGAACTGGGGGAGCTCTCCGTGACTGGGGGTCCTCTGCTCACAACAATGGTGGAAACCCCAGTTTGAACCTGGCAGAAAGACTTCTCTGGTGACGGACATTTAACAGTCTCCACAGAACAGAGGACACACCACCCCAACAAGCTCAGAAGGGAAAACGGTTCCTATGGGGCATCAGAGCAAGTGAAGAGCCAGCATGTTACAAATGGGAGATAAGTGGCCCACAGCCTGCTGGACACATTACTGTGCCAACTGAATTCATGAAAAAACAAGAGCTCACAGATGAAGTTAAAGAACCGAAAGACATTTTTTAATGAAAAAAATTAGCACCACGAAAAACCACAATGATCCAACATGAAGTCAATTTCCTTTCCTGAAGTAGAAAACCAGGAAAAGATTATTTAAGAGAATTTATTATTGTCCTCTTTCACATTAATGCAGTAGTCCCAAACTTGGGGCTCAAACTGGTCAAAAAAGACGACACTAGTTCCCAGTCACCAACCACAAGGATCGACCTTCCAGAGCATCCACCGCTCCTTCAGTGAACCCACATCACCCACACACCTGACACCTGCCAAGTGAGCAACCCCAGGGCCGCACTTCCCACCGCAGCGACTTGTCCATACGTCCACAACATCTGAAAAACGCAGTGTACCCACATCCTTCTGAATCCCAAACCAGTATCCATCACTTCCAGGGAACCTGTGCTTGGCTTATTTCTGTTACTCTACACACGCCAGGGCATGCCTTAGACTGGAACCTATTAATAAAACTAATGTCAGATTGCCACCTTATATTCAGCCTGATGTTCATGCTTTCAGCAACTCTGAGGAGTCTGGCGAGCTCGAATTGTCCAGAGCACGTGACAGTTTAAAATGCGGAGGCATGACCGAAATCAGTGACCCTCAGCGACCACATGAGGAGTCAGTCACGTGAGCTAGTGAGGGTGCCCGGCCGGCCACGCGGCGTCCGACACCTGGGGAGAGGCTGTGCTGTGATACTCCACCTCTGGGGGCTCCAAGTCCGGATGGTCTACATGTGTCTTTCTCTGAAGGCACACAAGTAGGACCGCTTGGAAGGAAGTGCTGACACCTCAGCTGCATGTCGACCAGACGACAGGGCAAGGAGGCTCAGCTCCCACGTCCTCGGGGCCACTTAGGGCTCAACATGCTACTCAGCCCCGAGCCCAGGTTCCTGTTAGAATTCCTATTAACTAACAGGGGCTACGCAGAAACTCATCATGAAAACACATGTCACATAATTCCAGTGTAAATAATGTGGCACTCGACTGGCTTGGCCGTTTATGCTGATTAACCTACATTACAAAACGGCATTCAAAATAAGTCTCCAGCTAAACAAAACCACACACAAACTCCACATATTAAGCTGTACTTGATCTAAATAGTGAAAGTCGCTCAGTCGTGTCTGACTTTTCAGCCCCATGGACAAAGTCCATGGAATTCTCCAGGCCAGAATACTGGATTCGGTAGCCTTTCCCTTCTCCAGGGGACCTTCCCAACCCAGGGATGGAACCCAGGTCTCCCACACTGCAGGCGGATTCTGCACCAGCTGAGCCACAAGGGAAGCCCAAGAAGACGCGAGTGGGCAGCCTGCCCCTTCTCCAGGGATCTTCCCGACCCAGGAGTCAGCCAGGGTCTCCTGCACTGCAGGTGGAGTCTTACCAACTGGTCTATGAGGGAAGCCCAGGATGGACAATTTATCCTACCCCTGCCCCCAGGCTTCTCTTTCCTATCTCGTTTTAAAAAAGATAATCATCTCACCTCAAAGTACATCCCAGGACTAAAAGGGAAACAGGTAATATTTCTCTCTTCTTCTCCCCAGGCCTCCTGAAGGAAAGAATTTCTTACAAATGCTTTCATATTCAGGCGTGGGTTCAAGTGGAGAGCAATATCCTTGGATTTTCCTGATAGCAGATCAACAGAAAAGCTATTGAGAGAATTAAAGAAAAAAACTAATTAGCCAAGGAGAAGAGAGGGGGTGCAGTTTTAACAATAAGAATTAAGCTGATGACACAGCACATGTAGACTCCAGGACCCCGGAATGCTAGTGAAGGTGATATTTAAAATTGTGAGTCAATATACCATTGGTATAAATATGTTATTTGCAAAATAAAAATACGGAAAGCTTAAAGATCAGTGTTTAAGACTAAAAATCCGATTGGGAAGAAATGAATGGGTTCGAATAAGTGACCCAAAAGATCACATCTGTCACGGGAATAGGGTCCCTCCAAAGTAGAAACACTCTAAACATTTACAAGTGTCCTGTTCTCCAGAGTGTATGTACTGTGTGTGCTCAGCCGCATCTCTCTGCGACCCCTTGGACTGTAGCCCGCCAGGCTCCTCTGTCCATGGGATTCTCCAGGCAAGAACACTGGAGCAAGCTGCCATTTCCTTTTCCAGGGGATCTTCCCAACCCAGGGACTGAAGCTGAGCCTCATGTCGCCTGCAGTGGCAGGCAGGTTCTTTACCACTAGCGCCACCTGGGAAAATAGCTCTCACTTCAAACTTTCAGAACTCTGGACATCTCTGGAAAAGATTATAAAAGCAGGAATTTTCTAAGTCCCATGACAAGAGAAGTCCTGACAAAACATATGCTCTCATACGCTGCCCTGCAGTTCAAGGCAAGGGCGTGCCTTATGGACAAAAAGCCACCCTCCTGTGTAGCCATAAAAAGCCTAGGACTCTGCCAGCAACTTGTCCTTAGCAGTCAAACTGCCTCTGGCTTTAACTGTCTTATTTTTCAAATGAAGCTTATGATGCTAGCCCGACTTGCACCTCACGAGACTGCTGTGACAGGGTTACAGCCTTAAGAGACACCCACAGCAGCATCTGCACTTTTACGGTCACTTAACGATACTGACCCTTTGGCATTTGTATTTACTTCTCCTTTTATGACGACAGTCCGTCCAGGGCCCATGGAGGAGTTCAACCTTGCTACAAACGGCAGAGTCTGCAAAGAAACCCCAGTCAGTGCCAGGCGACCTCAGAGATCTCGGGGGAGAACTGGCTGAAGACACTGGGACATGTTTAAAGGCCGTGACCCTGTGACCCCCGCGAAGGGACAGATGAGTCTGCCTGGGCCCCAGGGGGGCCCCTGGCCGTTAGCACTGTGCCGGCTCCCAGCAGACTCTCCGTGAGGCTGTTTCAGACCATGAAGTGAATGGGTGTGGGGGGAGCTGGCCTCCCTGACTGACACTCCCTCTGAGGCGTCACCTCGGCTGGGGTCTGACGCGTGCTCTGTGTCCGGCCTGGAGGGGAGGCGGCCGAGGCGGGGGCAGTTACGGAAACACACTCGGGGCTCAGGGACCTGCTCTCCGTCCACGACACACAATGCCAGCGCCAAGTGGCTGCCTCGGGCTTGGACTGAGGGTGGAGGTTATGCGACCAGCTAACTAAAACTTAACTCGTTACACAGAATTAGGAAAATTTTGGCTCTTCAAACCTTTGACAAACAGTTGGTAGGTAGTATTTTGGCGCAAGTCAAAGTGTGATTGGCTGGCGAACTTTTGCTCTTGGTGTAGACAGTTCTGGGGACGATTTTAGAAATGTCTCCTCTATTACTAGGCTGTAGGGAAACAGTTCTGCAATAAGGTATGGAATAAGTGAAGCTATCTTCCAAGGTTTAAACTTCATTTCCTGGACACTCATAAAAAGGTTCCACATGTTATATAGCAAAAATACTTACAAGCTGTGACCCACCAGACTTTTGTACCTATTGGAAAAGAAAGACAAAATCAGAGTGTGTGACAGACAAGCAAGAAATAGACTGTGTAACATGAGCAATCGGGTCTTCCTGGCGGTACGACTGGGACAGCAGGGCCTGCCCGGCCCTGGGCGGGGGGACAGGCAGGGGCCAGTGCTTTCTGAACACGTGCAGGGCGCTCAGAGCCACGCAGGCCGGGGACAGCCAGCCTGTCCTATTCATTGTCTCAATTCTGTAACTCCTCTGTGCGCTAAGCATCTTCCCAAGGCCACACGTGGGGTCAGACACGGTTTACTTCTTTACAGGGTGCGCCCCAGATACTGAGATTAGAGTCTACTTATGAATGTGCTGAGATCAGTTAAGACCTCACTTTTCTCCACTAATAACAGCTAAAAGGTCTGAACTGCACTTGTTTCCATGGGGAACAAGTGGAAACATGGAAGTTGTTTACTGATTCATTGGCTGTGCTCACTACGTATAAACACCTCCTGCCAGCCCTACTCAGCAGCTAAGAGTTCTTTGTACATTAAGATGGGTGGGAGTGGTCAGATCACTGAGTCTAAACAGCAAGACTTAACACAACCGGCACCCTCAGTATATGCCTCAATTTTCAACTTCCAGCATATTAATTATTAAAAATGTAAGTGTTCACATTAAAAACATGGTTTCATATTAAAAATCTAAGTGTTCATATAAAAAATGTTTTCATATTAAAAACATAACTTAAAAAAACTCAGCCTGCCTGCCACCTAATTTACATGACAAGTAAAAAGACATTTTTTAACATTTTTAGACATTTTTAAACTTTAAGAGATTTAATAATTACATTTTCTTTGCTTATCCCTGTCTGTTCCAGAATAGATCCTTGGGTACTTCCTAAATCCTGAAAAAAAGTTCAGATTAATGTTTAACATCCATCAGAATTCTGAATATAATCTTGACATATCAAAAAAATCATAAATGGTACTAAACATGAAAATATGCAAATATAAAAAAAAATGCAGGCACATTAGCATTCTTCTCCTACTACCAAACTGACAAAAGTTAGAGGTAAGAAAATGTGTGAAGACTGAGCGAATGTATACAGATCTTGAGACTGTAATTTGTTTTACTGTCTGTGGAGGGCAGGTTAGCAATTTCAACTGGACATCCCACTGCTGGGAAACAGTTTTAGAGAGAACTACTCCATTGTACTCCCACGTCAAGGAAATACCCCCACTCCAGCTATAAAGGGTTGGTTGGCTGGTTGTGGTTATCACTTCAGGTTTTTTGTTAGAACCATGCTAGATTTGAGATCTACAGGCAATAAGCTCTAGGCAATGATTAGCATCCTACTAGTCTGAATATTTACTTCTAAGAAATTAACACACTAGTGAGGGATATATTTACACTGTTTTCATCTCAACAGATGATGTTAGTTAAAGATGTTTCCTACCATTTCATCAGAAAACGCCACCAAAGGAGACCCCCAGACACCCTGCCCCCTCTCCTGTGGAAGGGCCCTCACCGAGCTGAAGCTGAAGCCCACAGAGTGAATGAGGACTTTGCCGTAAATGCCCAGCGTGTCGATCCTCTCTGGGCTGATCCTGTGGGCATACAGCAGGGTGTGCTTTCCATTGACAGCCACCTGGACAAATGGAAAACAGCAGGCACCTCCAATAAAGCAGTTAATAAATGAATTTTATTAATTTATCCAAGTTTAAATCTGCTGACTCAGATTTAGGTTGAGACTTTTTCCCACAGGTCTCTGCATGACACGTCTGAGCAAACTGTGATGAAAGCACCCATAACTGGCAGCACTCTTAACTTCCTTGGAGTTCTTCATCTGACTGAACACCAGGGACACTCTCTCCAGACAGATCATGCATCTGTGAACACATGACCACATCCCCGCGTGCAGCAGGCCTGTACATGAGACACCCTGGCTGCCCATGAGCCCTGGCAGAGACCTGCCCCACGACCTCATCACCCCGCTGTCCTGAGGACCAGACTCTGGAGACCACCCTGCACGAGGCCGGTGCTCCACACACATCTGGATACTTTGCTGAATGAATGAACCTGGGCAAGTGACCCAAGTTCTCTGAAATTCCTATCCGTGAGCAGGAAGCATGCGCCCTCCAGACGCCACTGCTGGGAGGAGATGACCCCGTTCCTCTCGTGAGACTCCAGCCAGTGCCTGACCAAGAGGGCACCAGTGCTCCGGGCTCCTCCTTCCTCCCTCCCAGATGCCAGTACACGTGCACGGAGTGTCGGGAAGACACGCAGAACACAATACAGTCTCTGACCTCAAGGAGCTGAAAATCCCATTGGAAGGCAAGAGAAATGCAGGGAAAAAACCAAAGCACAGGAGTACAGACAGACATTTAAAAAAAAAGATGGACGCAAGGACTCCAACAGTGAGAAGAGGGAGGGGTGGTGAGAGGGGGAGGTTCCGGGCAGGAGGGGTGGTGGGAGCAGGCTCTGAAGGTCAGGGGAGTCTACACCTCGGGTGGGACGTTTCCCTCTGTGCTGTCGAGCCTCTACTCTGCGAGGCCCCACAGGCTGGAGCAGCCTCGGGACCACACTCCACCTCTGCGCACACTAGGGATAAAGTGCTCGGCGGTCCTGATGACGCGTGGGCTTTCTAAGCTCCTCTGGTTAGAATCGCTGGATCCCATGGGACGAGGCAGTGCAGGACAGAACTGACCACCCCCCAGGCCCCGACTCCCAACGCCAGGATCTCGTCTGTCTGTCAGTTCAGACTCCCCCACACTCAGGGTTCTAGTGCCTGCAGTTAACTTTCCATCATCAGTATAAGCCTGAGCCAGTTCAGAACGAACTCAGTCCTGCAAGGAGACACAGTCCAGCAAAGATCCAGTCACATTGGACCTGCATGGCGACATCAGCAGGGACACAGGAGCCAGGCTGTGCCCACCTCACAGGAAGGTACCCGCCATGCCTGCCTTCTGAGAAGAGTTATAAAGCCAAACCCTTCCTCTGGATTTAGAAGACGTAAGGGCGAGTTCACGCGTGCAGAGGGCTTCCCTCACGCTCATTGTCATGAGTGAGGAGTCAACCTCCACCCTCCAAAACCTGCCTGGAACTTCTCTTTCAGCACCATGATCACAATCTCAAACGACTTCTCTTTCTTGAAAGGCATGTCGTAGGTGATCTCCTCCCAGCCCCACTTCTCATTTCTCAGAGTGTTGCAGACAATGCAGTTGGCCCTTTTGAAGCGTGGATTGAAATGGAAGGCCACATCCGCTCGGGGTTTCACGCTGCTGCCACACTGCAGGTCCACCTGGAACCTGTGGAGGGAAGAGACGGGCCACGTGGGGACTCAGGAAGGCGGCTGCATGGAAACCCAGGCCTGCTGACACCTGACCCACCCAGGGGGCCCAAAAGGTCCAGAACAAGCACCTATTTACCGGCCTCCCTGCAGGAGGGCTGGCCCAGGGGTCCCAAGCTCTGCCAACGGGGTGGAAGGGAAGTATTCACAGAAAACTATAGGAAACGGCCTCAATAGTTGACATCTGTCTTCTGTCCACCCCGCCCCTTTCCCCCAAAAACCACATATGGACCCAGGCAGCTACACAAACAACGTGAGGACCAGAGTCCCAGCTTCCAAGAACTGTGAAAAAGAAGACGTCACCCTGGGACGCGGGTGCGGGCAGGAAGGGGCTCCCGCCTGACAGCTCCATGGCCCGCCCTTCAGCCGTCTGGACTGTCCCCTTTAAGGGTCGCATTCGCCTCTTACTTAAACCACTGTTACTCAGGCGTCAGTCATACAGAGCCAAGTTCAACTCCAGCTGATACAGCCTCATCCGGACTTTGTGCCCAAGGCAAGCATTACATAAAACCACCTGGGACAGGCCTGAAGAGATGCTGTGGGAAAGTTACACTGTAACTAGGCCACATCCTTGTCATCTGACCACCATTCCCTCCACTAGCTATGTTTCTAATTCTTTACAGTAAAGTCAGACTCATGGCAATAAAAAATTCAAATCACCTGTATTTCAGTTTTTCATTCCAGTTTCCTCAGCACCTTGGCCAAGGCTGCTGTAAAAGCAAAATCAGCCTCAAGTCCCCGAATGGTCTCTCGGACGTTATTTTTTGTTGTCCCGCAATCACAAAGATGCACTTTACTCGTGTTCTCATCTAATAGCATGACTTTACCTGTCCGAGTCACTAGGAACATGCCCACGGAGTACAATCAAAGTTCCCGGCTCCAACTGCTCAGAAATGGTCCCAACATAGGGGATTACCTAGGAAAAATAATTTTAACAAATGTTCATTTACAGAATCAAAGGACTACACACTTAAAGGCTGCACATGAATTTGCTCAGACCCTAGCATTTTTCCAAGTCCTCACCATTCAAACAGCTGCGTGGGAACATCATAGCTTGGAGACACAACACCTGCAAACCACTCTGGGTTCTTTAGAAATAGACATACTGCTTACAGTACTTTTTATCTGGCTGGAGTGTGTGTGCATGCTCAGTTGTGTCCAGCTCTTTGTGGGCCCGTGGACTGTAGCCCACCAGGCTTTCTGCCCATGGAATTCTCCAGACAAGAATACTGGAGTGGGTTGCCATTTCCTCCTCCAGGGGATCTTCCCGACCCAGGGACTGAACCCGCATCTCTTGCGTCTCCTGCCTTGGCAGGCGGATTCTTTACCACTTGAGCCACCTGGGAATATCTGGCAGGGGGTTGTATGAAATGCCACGCCTTGCCCGTTTTTCCTAAGCTTCCATGGATGATCCCAACCTGATGGAGGCCGGACCAGGCCCTACCCCAGCGCTGAAGAAGACAGTGACAAGCGCTCACTGCCGGCAGAGGGCACTCCACACGAAGCCGCTCCGCCTTACCTGGGACCGGGTGCCTTGCCTTACCCACTGAGCTCCCACACTGCGCCCCACCTGGGAACCAGAGACCTTCGCGGTCTGCAGGACGCACTCAGGGTCCTGTGGGTCTCTCAAGACACAGCATCTACATACCTCGCCCGGCGCAGGGCGCAGGCCTGGGCCCTGACAGGAGGTCCCACACAGGATTCGGGTCTCCCGCCTGCCCCTTCCTCACCTGGAACACAGCATTTTTGCCTGGGGCCTGACACAGGATCAGATCTTCTCACTCCCCTCCCCTGGGTGGCTCCACCATCCTCCCTGACCACTGGTCATGTGGCTGCGCCTCCTGCACCCCAACCACGTCCCACTTCCACCTGGAGCCTCTGACCGACCGAGGCAAGCAGGCCAGACGCCAGCATGCCTTGTGCCGAGCTCACCTGGGTTATGACATCTATGCTAAAATTGATCAAGGGAGCTCTGATTGTCAAGAAGTAAGAAACAAAACAAAAGAGGCCATGCAATGCCACCTCAGACACAATCTCGGGTGTGAAGCCTTTTTCGGACTCTCTGGGCCAACTGAATCAGCCCTCTGTGAGGGTCATCATGGTACTTGTTACTCTGTTCCTGTGCAAACACATGCCGAGATTTTGAGCTGCATGGGGCAGGACCCAGCCATCCTCTTTACACCCCCAGGACAGAGGTCAGGCGATGATCCACAATCACTTGGTGAATGAATGAGCTCTCACCATTCTGGAAACTGGGTTCTGACAGGCCTCCCATACGCAGAGGCGTGGCAACTTAACAGCTGCTGGACAGACTGTTGCTGCCTTAAGCAGTCAGACAAGACATCTACAAAGCCAGTGCCCACCTGGTGTCACAGCCACTGCTGGAGGCAGCGTGGGGGAGATGAACAGGGCAACAAGCCAGAAAGGAAAAGGAAAAATGTAACAGATGTGCAGAGCATGGCCACAGCCACACATCAGACTGGATGGTTTCTGTGTATAGAGAATGTGGAAGTCACCACTCCTCTCAGCCACAGCCAAGAATAAACAGCAGCATCTTTCATGATGTATATCTCTTAATAAAATGAGAACCGTTTTTGTAACTTCAATTTTTTTTTATATGTTCAACTTATATTTGGGCTTCCCAAGGTGGCTCAGTGGTAAAGAACCCACCTGCCAATGCAGGAGACACAAGAGATGCAGGTATGATCCCTGGGTCTGGAAGATTCCGTGGAGGAGGAAATGGCAACCCACTCTAGTATTCCTGCCCGGAGAATCCCATGAACAGAGGAGCCTGGCAGGCTACAGTCCAAAAAGTTGGACATGACTAGCAACTGAGCATAACTTATATTTATGCAGAATATTTAATAACACAGAACTGTTAGTAAAATAATTACCAGTGAGAAAGTAGCCTACAAAACTCCATACAGTGTGGTCTTAACCAAAAGGAAAAGGAAAACACTAAAAAAATAAGCCAAAAATGTTACAACCCTTTTCTTGAGGAATGAGATTTTAATTTTCTTCTTTATATATTTGTATACTTTCCAGATTTATATAATAAGCATGTATAATGTTTTTACCACAGATTTTTTATTATATCAGTCTGAGAAACAACTGTGCTGCAAATTTGGGCAATTTGCTGTTTTCCATATTAATGCTTTCTATTTAGGAATGTACCCTGATTTATATTAATATCACTGCTGTTGCTGCTCAGTCGTGTCTGACTCTTTGTGCCCCATGGACTGTAGCCTGCCAGGCTCCACTGTCCATAGGATTTTCCAGGTAAGAATAGTGGAGTGAGTTGCCATTTCCTCCTCCATGGCATACTCCCAACCCAGGAAATGAACTGGGGTCTCCTGCATTGCAGGCAGATTCTTTACCTGCTTAGCCATCAGCAATACTCAACTTTTTTGGACCATGTGAAGGAAACAAAAGCCCCTCAGTCCACTTACCCCCTCACAAACATGCTCCTGTGGAAAGGGAGAAGGGTGCTGTTTTCAAGGCAACTCCAAGCTTTGAGGCTTTGATGTTTCACAGATAATTTACATAAAACAATACAATGTAGATCTGAACACCCTGGAGACAGTATCATAAACTTAAGCCTTACTCAGGTTTGGCATTAACCTGCCTGAACATCCCAGCTGATTCATATGCTTTGCCTTTTTTATATCATTTATCAGATGTCTGCTCTACACCAGGGTCAGGTCAGGCAGCCTGCAGCTGGAAAGAAGTATGAGTTCCGTCTATCCGGGAGGAGCTGAAGATACAGTTGGGAAGAAGTCAGATACCCTCGGAAAGATGATTAGTGGAAACGTTGACACTCTGTCCAGCTGTTCAAATCAGAACCTCCTTCTAGCTGGGAACCCCTCTCTTATGAACACGAGCCCTCATCCAAACTGTGACGAAGGCATATGATGCAGATCTGTCCGTCAGCACCCCCAGTTCAGACTCTAAGCTAGAAGCCATGACAAGCACTTGCAGCCAGGACCCTGCAGTGCTCGCTCCGGCCAAGGTGGGCAGCAGTGGCGCGGCGGCGCTGCCAGGGCACAGAGGACCGTGTTGGTCCACTGCGGAGAACAGCCCTGAGCCCGGCGTGGGCTGCTGCCTGCGATGACATCGTTGACAAGCCTGGTTCTTTGGTCCAGCCTGCTGACATCACTTAATTCCTTTTCTGCTCAAATTAGCGGCTGGTTTCTGTTTTTGCAACTACCAGCCCTGGCCAAGTCAACATCTAAAAAAATGGGGCAGGAAGGAAGTGTTGAATAAATGCTTCAGAAAAATGTATAAAGAGCTGTAACTGAGGTGGCCACAGCTGATGAATGCGGTATGATGTGACCTGGGGAAAAAGTATGGTTAGGCAGAAAAGAGAAGGAAGCCAGTTCAGGTAGAAATGTCCAGTTACAAAGGCAGAGAGGCAGGGAAAGACAAAACTTATCTGGGAGACAGTAAATAGTAAGGGAGCAGTTCAAGAGTTAGAGTCAGACTTTAGAATAACAAGACAAAAGTGGGGGTTGGGAACAACAATCCAGTGGAAGTAAAATAAACTGTCGGGCAGAGGAGTATCTGGGAGGCTGCCTGGCAGTAAGCAAGACTGGCACAGAGAGATAAGAACGTGATCCTCGCTGATGGCGGCAGACGCTGAGGGGGTGGGGGCGGGAGAAGATAAACACTTTGAGCTGTATCAAAGAAAACTGTCCATGTGGGGCCACCACCTAAAATGGTCAAACTGTGGAAGAAACAGATTTCAGAAGGAAGATGATGACTTACGTTGTGAACACCCTTAGTGTGCGAGGTTGGCAAGACACCCAAGGGGAAACACACTGAAAGGAGTGGGAGACTCAGGACCAGTATGAAGTGAATGGCCAGGACTCAGAAGTCAGAGAGGAGATGACGACTTAATAAGATGAGAGGCACTGGACAAACTGAGAGAGTCAGGAGCAAAGTCTCAGTGGCGGTCAGTTACGGTGTGCGCGAATGGTGGTCAGTTACGGTGTGTGCGAATGGTGGTCAGTCACGGTGTGCGCGGCATCAGCACAGCAGACCTGGCTGCTGGCTCTGAAAGGCCTCCCTCCAAGGAGCTTGGGTCTGGAGAGAGCACCCACCACCCTAACTGAGAAGGGTGGGTCACCCACCTCGACTATTTGTGCAAACATGATTTATGCTCAACACCTGCTTTCCTGCTGGGAGTCTGGGGTTTTGGTAGTTGCTAGGCAGATGCTATCTACACAACATCTCTCAATAAAGACCCTGGGTGGTGAGTCTCTAATGAGCTTTCCTAGAGGAGAAAATTTCACACAGGTCACAGCTAGCTGCTGGGAGATTTAAGTCCATCCTGTGTGACACCCCTGACAGGATACCCTTGAAATCCTGTACCGTTTCCCCTGGACTTCGCTCTATGTGCCTTTCCCCTTTGTGGTTTTTGCTCTACATCCTTTCACTGGGACGCATCACAGCCACGGGTATGACTGAGCTGGTGAATCATTATGACTGAGGGTATGTGGGAGACATCGATGCAGGGAGTGAGAAGAGAAGGAAGAAAGAAGGATCTGACAGAGCAGGGCAGTCATGTCAAAGAAGTCAATTTCAAAAAGGGAATGTCTCTAACATGGAAAAATAAGGAAGGCCTCACCCCTGCCTCCATCAAAAGATAATGAAATGGATATCATACTCTCTGACATAGTGATTCTGCTTTTATAGACTTCTCCTGTAAAATACTAGCACATGTGCACAAAGATGCACCTCTAAGGATGTACACTACAGCCCTGGATAGTCATAAACAGATCTAGCCCTTTAACAGGGGGCTGGTGAACTAAGTCACAGTACATCCACACAGTGGGCAAATTATGTAGCCACTAAAATAAGTGAGTGAACTCTATGCTGATACCTCCAAAATGTGTTAAATGGCAAAAAGCACAGTAT